TTTGGATTCTGTGTCTCCCTCTCTCTCTACCCCTCCACTGCTCATGCTCTGTGTCTCTCTGTCTCTCAATAATAAATAAATGTTAAAGAAAAAAATTTAAATAAAATGTTGACTAAATAAGTGAATCTGAATATGTGGACTGTAGGAAAAGTGCATAGATGGTATGCAGTGAGAGGAACACACCATTGGAGGGAAACTGGGGCAGAAAATGACCAAACTGTCAAAAAATATCAAAATTTGTTTCTTAAAAAATATAGCCCCTTATGGAAATATAAACAAGAGTGGGGCAATTTCAATTTCAAAAAGGAAGAGGTAGAACATTCATCAGGAAGATGGAGAAGTCTGATATATAGACAATCAGAAAAAGTCAGAATCCTTGAGAAAAACCAAGCTGCAAGAAAGGCAGATCAATAGTGCCGCTTGCTGAAATGCTAGAAAATGATAGGATCTGTCCAAGAAAGTAGTCATTGGAGGCTTTAGAGGGTACAGTTTTAGTAGAGTTGTGAGAAAAAGCTAATTGTGGAGCTTAAGGGAATTGGGGCGGAAGTGGTGGTAACAGGCATAGAGACGCCACAGGAAAAGACCCAACGAACAGAACCATTCTGTCACGAGCTGTGTGAGTCGCCGATGACTGGGAGCCCGGCAAGACTATGATGACATTTTTGCTCAATCTCAGTTTCCATTGGGGATATATATAAAATGAGTTCTGCCTTTTCACACCATTAGGAGATGAGTATTCTATTTCTCAGTGGGTTCAAAATTTTCAGGTGGTTAGGACCACAGAGGGAAGCATGCACCTGGCCAGGTACCGTGAATTTTGTCGGCATCGTTTGAACACTGAATTAGACCCTTCACTTCTTTTCCCATCTAGACTGGACAAACGGGGTGTCTGAAGTATCCATACTTAGCTAATCCAAGTTATATTGGAAATAACGTGTGTGTGTGTGTGTGTGTGTGTGTGTGTGTGTGTGTGTGAGAGAGAGAGAGAGAGAGAGAGAGAGAGAGAGAGAGAGAGAGAGAGAGAGAGAAAGGCTCAGAGATTGAGAGAGAGAGACAAAGAGAGAGACAGAGAGACAGAGAGAGACAGCATGCACGTAGGCAAGCAGAAAGAGAATCTTCTAAGTACAACAATTGGTCTTCTGTTTGTCAGAGGTTTTTTCCTGGCTCTTCAGCTCTCTGGCCATCCAGAATACGTACACAGATGGACTTCAAGTGAGCCGATTACTAGAATACACAAAAGCCACAGAAGTAATCCTTCTAGACACAAGGTCAGAGCTCAGAGAAGGCACTGAGTTTGTATTTCTGAACTTGTTGACTAGAAAACTGTTGCTGAAACAAACAACCTAAAAAGGTGTGTCTTTCCAAATGTTTAAAACTAGTTCCATGGGGGATGTGTTTAAAAGGACCCACATGATCACTCATCTTCAGAAAAGAGGAGACAAGAAATGCAGTGTGGGTACAACATCAAGAAAGGACACAGCTAAGCTTTCATCTCATAATGCAAATAGTCTCTGTAAGAGGAAGAAATTAAAGGGGAGACCGGAAAGAGATGTTCACAACATGTTCAGGCAAAAACTTGCATCACAATATATGCTCTAATGGTTTCATTTTTGTCTAAAGTGACATCTGTGTGCTATGTGTGTAGGTGTGTGCGTATGAGTGTGTGCGCATGGGTGTTCAAATATATTTGCTCAATTTCTCTCTATGAACGACATCATATTTAGGGGCACCTGGGTGGCTCAATTGGTTGAGCGCTGACTTTGGCTCAGGTCATGACCTCACGGTTCATGGGTTCGAGTCCCACATTGGGCTCTGTGCTGATGACTCAGAGCCTGGAGCCTGCTTGGGATTCTGTGTCTCCTTTTCTCTCTGACCCTCCCCCACTCATGCTTTGTTTCTCTCTGTCTCTCAAAAATAAATTAACATTACAAAAAAAATTTAAAAAAAGAAATCATATTTAAGTGAAGGATGATGTTTCAGACCACCCAGTTCACTGAAAATTACTTAGAGTCTTCAATAATCACCTTGAGTTTAATTTGATTATAACCGAAAGAGACAAGGGAAACTGTTGCTTTGTACCACTTCCAGAAAGATAAGGTTGCCAAGAAGAGGTAACGGGCATTCCACTTAGCAACAGCAAACTCAAAGGACACAGGAGTTTGGACACGTTTCCAGCATGATCCTGGGGAGATGATGAGAGTCCCATGAATAGAAAGCAGAGGAACTCATGAGGTAGACAGAGTGCTATAGCATTGCCCTACATGACAGTCTAGAAAAGTCTGGGAATACGAACCATTAAAACCATGTTACTCCTGTTGCAGAGCCGTGAAGCTTATTCAACCACCTCTCCTCAAGGCACCCCAAGTGGGGATACATCCTGCTTGGAAACCCAAGGGTTTCAGCTCAGCTCACTGGATAGTTAGAATCTCCTTTCAGGATAATTCCCTTATGTCTAAGTAAGGAAATATACAGAAAAGCATTGGAGACTGTTCTTAAATACAAGCCAGAAGAGTTCTATTATTTCATACAAGAAAAATCTAGACATTTATCCTAATAGACTGTTATCCTAATAGCTTCAAAGTAGTTTACATTTTTTTTCTCCTTTATTTTTCTCTATCTGAAGCTCCGAGCCATGCATGCCGTCAGTCGCCAACTCTCACAATGGGCTAATCCAACCAGCAGATCATCAGCTGTGGCAAAGTTCTTTCCGGTTTTAATTTCTCACAAGCTGTCAGCATGTTTATGACCTAACCACCTTCTTCCTTCCATCTGATCCTACATACCCCCATCCCCCTAGCATTTGGATTTAAAAAAAAAATCGCTTCAAGAGAGTCTCATGGCATATTCCAGTTTAGGGTTATTTCGTGCAATAGTCGCACACTGCCGAGTTCTGATTCATTCCTTCACAGCATGAGTTCACAATTTCATACAGATTAAAAAAAAAAAAAAACAAAACAGCAACTATAAGAACCATTTTCAGTCACACATAACTGAACAACTGGATAAAAGTGATTGCCAAGAGACCCTAATTGTGGAAGTTCAGAGAGAAGTAAAGACCTGGGTGGGAGGTTGCTCAGGTACCCTTGAATGTGGCAGGACCACGGGGGCTCCCTGGAGGAGGCCAGTTTGGAAGGGATGCTAGAATGCACATAAGGTGAAGAGGTCTCCACAAAACACTACAGAGCATATGTCTCTGCCAAGGTCAAACCCCTGCAGCCTTGCTGACAATGAGTCAGTTACCTCAAGGAGTAGGGCTGAACAGGTCTCTAGGGCTGCAGGGGGCCACCCCTCCACAGCCCGGCCGCACCCTGGCCCTGCCACGTGGCAGGTGTGAGGCTCCCTGCTCCAGATGGGAGACCACCTGGGCCAGCAGTTACCTGGTAATCTTATTTTGGAGGCTATGTGAGCACATTTAGAAAGAGCAAGAGCTATAATGAGCTTATTAAGGAAACTGATCTACGGCATTATGGGCTAAACATGGAGTCATTTCCTCTGATAACCTAAATTAACATTGCTTAAAAGTACAGGGCTTGCAAATGTCTAATGTCAGCAATGATGGTGAACCCTCCCCTGCTCAGTGTGAAGGCCAAATATGAATAAAAATAGAAAGCCTTATGGTGCCAAGAGCTATCAATACACTCATTTGTCATTTATTCCCAGGGCAAATTTAAAATACTTCCTTTTAATAGAAAGTCATGCTCTTCCATGGTTCATTCATATCTATCTATCTATCTATCTATCTATCTATCTATCTATCTATTGCTTCAAAGTAGCTGTTACATTATTTATTTATCTCAACATTTAAATTTTCTTTGAAATGGAGATTTACCATCGCAATAAATGGCAACAACAGAAACACTGGGTTCAGGCACACTTAAAGTAAACGGTGACCAATTAGCAAAACTTTTCAAGGAATCAGGCTATTGATTTACGAAAATAATTGTTCTTGAAAATTATTCTCCAAGTCTGAAAAAAGCCATATTTTTCTAACCATGAATGACTAAGAATGCCGTAATACACGTACAATTTGAATACTGTTTGAGATAAAGTCAAATCAGTTCATCTATCTTCAGATCATTCAATTTAGCCAAGCAAAGCATAAAAATACTAATAACGCCATTCTTTGACGCTACTAAGTGTGGCCACATAACAGAGCGGCAGGGCGGAAGAGGCGGCTGGTGCCTGTGGACCCTGAATGCTAAACAATATCAAGTAAAAACAATGAAAAGGAAAAAGAAAACCAAACTCAGCTTCCTAGAGTGGAGGAATTTGTCTATTTCTTCCATCTATTAAAGTATTATACATATCCTAATTTTCATTATGAGGTATCCAAACACAGATCTCCCCACTATTAAAATATCTGAGACATGCACATTTCAGGTTCTGCACATGGAACGTGTTACATGGTCCCCTGAGGGACCTTGATGACCAACATCTCTTTCTAAAGTGACTGGCTGAGTATTAGGAAGGAACTCACAAACTCTAACGTCAAGTCTTTTATACTGTTTTCCTCTTTCCAAATTAAATAGCGGTGGATGAAATAATGCCATACCCCATGAAAGTGCTAACAGTGAAATCACTTAGAGCACCTACTTTTGACTCCTTCAGAGAGATCTTTCCTCACAGGAGATTTTGGTACACTTTACAGTCTTAAATTTTATCGGAGACCATTAATTGTGTCAATTCAAGGGTTAGTAAATAGCATCTAATGTTGTTGTTTTCCACAGCAATTACACATTTGCTCAGGGATAATTAGTAAGTGGTCAAACGGAGGCCTCGCTCTGGATTTTCCACCACACTGCAATCCTTGTTAAGCAACGAAGTACATCGGATGCCACTTTTGCAGAACTATTTTAATTAAGGTAAATTATTGCAAACAGCTACTAACCTCTAACAACGAACTACACATTAGCATTATTCATTTCTGTGCTGTGCTTCCTTTTCCACTTAATTACAGAAACCCTGGCTAACTCTCAAAGTCAGACTAAAAGCAGACTTACCGTCATCGTACTGGCCGAAGCAGACTGCAGACAGCACTCCCAGGATGATCCCCGAGGCTAAGCATTTCCAGAGGTAAAACCGTTGTAACATCTTCTGTCAAATTCTGCTCAAGGCTGATCTGAAATCACAGGAAGGGGAAGGAAACAGGTGACACGTTCATTAGTCTATTATAGGATTTATACACACGACTGTGACAGTACAGAAAAGCCTCAATGACTTCATAGGTAATCACCTGTGCCACACCTTCCACTAACAAATAACACACCCGCTCAATGCCCAGCAACTCTTTACCCACATGAATTTACACACAAGTGATCTCTAAGGAAAGAAATATTTGCTGTTACTCTGTAAGCAAGGAAGTTGAGTAGTTAACATACTGATGACATCGCCCTTTTAAAAATGGAGACCCTATGAGTGAATCAACTATGAAGTTATTACATTTACCGTAGCCATAGGTCAGTGATAGCGTGTACATTGTTTCATGATGATTTCAGCTGGCAGACTAGTTGTTAGTATCCTACGTGAACATTTCTATGGGCATTTGTCTTATATAATTAAATAGAAAAACACATTATTACAATTCTAATTGCTTCCTGGCAGAGCAATAAGGGAGTGACTGTGCCAAGTAAGACAAGGGAACACCATCCATTTCTACCACATCTGTCTTCCAAAACATTTGGATGAATTTCATTCCAATCCGTTTGCTTTTCTTTGCAATCTCCAGGAAGTAAAGACACCAGGTGAAATATTAGTGGCCAGTGAGCACACCAAAAAAAAAAAAAAAAAATCTTATTGAAAGAATGATGTGCTAAGCTTCCGTGTAAATTGAAAAAAATCATTGATGCGGGCTTGTTCAAAGTGACCCTGGGTATAGATCAGGGAAGAACAGGGATAGGAACCCTGTCTCTCTGATTCAAAGGCGTTACATTCAGATGCCTATGGGGGACAAGAACACCAAAGCAGAGAGCGAATTAGGCTAAAGGGACACTAGGGACGGTGAGGCTGTGATAAACTGGGAGTCTCAGGGTTTGCCTGCAGAGGTCAACTGGTACAGTGTTGCCAGGCCTTCCGAGTTTCCAGAATATTGTAGAAATCCAAATTTCCATGAGGGATTGCCCAGTCGTCTAGATAATTGTTCAACCTTCATAACTAGGTGCTTCTGGCCGGCTACACCGTGCCCCAAGGGCCTTCAGTCGACCAGACCTGTCCAGGATTCTCTCCCGTAGATGACTAGCGGTAAGGTTCATCAGAATGTGCCAAGGAAATATTTTAATTCTGCCTTTACATGCAGTTTATTTCATCTATGTTTCTGTTTTATTTGTGTGTGTTATAGTTTATTTGCACAATAGCATATATAGATATACATAATTTACTTTAAACTTGTATGAAAAGTTCAAGCCCGTGTTTTTTCTTTTACTCATAGAATGCGTAGTGCTTAAATTTCAAAGGTCACTGCACTAGAACATG